TTTCTGGGGGGCCAGGCCCCCCCAGGACCCCCCTAGTTACGCCCATGTTTAGCCTTGTTTCCGCTTTTTCCTGTGTTTTCGATTGTCGTTTCCGTTTCGGGCTGCTTTCACATTCTCTTTGTTTTCCACTATCTGTTTTTCTAGGTGTCATTACCCCAAGGAAGGTACTGCGATCTTGCGACGGGATATTTCTCGTCTGAAAGCAAAGGCTGTGCGGGCTGGCTCAGACGTGAAGTGGAAATCGGAGAGGACGGGAGTCTGAGCGTATCCTTGCCGGGTATCGCACGGTCCGGCGAGGCCCAGGAGCCCCCGTACCTTGTCATCAGCGTAGAATCCAGAATCTCGGAACCCGAATCGGACGAGGAGGACGACGATGATTGGAAGAAATACATACCTCCGACCAAATATCTTGTCTGGGCCCTCTTGGGTGTCTTGGGCGCTGGTGCAGCCGTCGGGGTGGGTTGGCTCCTGTGCAGGCGATCCAACAAAGGAGCCGATCCAGGCGGTGTAGATAAAGCCTTCGAAGTGAGAGCATAGTTTTCACTTTTTTCAAATCCAGACTTAAAATTGTTCGATTCATATTTTACCTACGGCGCGGCGCACACTGGACCGAATCAATAGGAGGAGTCGGACAAAATTTAGAGACTACGAAAGCTTATGTTTTCGATTATATAAAACCAAAAAGTTTAAGAATGGGTTCCATTGTTTTTTGGTATGATTTCCTGTCAGAAAAACCCCTTGAAATTTAATTTGTGACAAAATAAACATCAAAATTTGAAATTTTAGCCGAAAATGTCTTCTCCGACCTCTTCTATTGACTCAATCCACTGTGCGGCGTTGCTAAAGTTCAAAGTACAGGCTCAAAGTAGATAGAGAATGAGAGAAACAAGAAGAACGTGGGTGGAACCGAGAATTTTTTGTAGGGAGAGGAGGGGAGCAAATGGATACCTCTTTAAGATACGACGAGGATTTTTAGGTTTTCCCCTGCAGTACTAAAAAGGAGCTCAGGGATTTATTTAGCCTAAAAAGGGGTTCCGGAGGGCTTCTCCCGGAGAATTTTAAAAAATTGCGTTCTTTCAGAGGCAAGTTTGAGCTAGTCTTACCAAGAAATTGATTGAATTAAAATTTCGATTAAAAAGAACGAAGTATAACACGGTTGTTTGAAACTTTCGGCGAACGTTCTTCACACCAAGTGGAAAAATCGTGGAAGTTAGCAAGAATTGACGATGAGTAGATTTTTCCATTTAGAAAATAAATTTTGAAAGATTGTCTACGTAGCGTTAAACCAAAAAACACCGTTTTTTTAGTTTTACCGTAGCTATACAACATCCTTAATTAATGGCAGTGAGAGTTGAGAATGTTGTTCAATTGAGGATTTTTCTATTAAAAAAGAAATTTACGTACCTCAACGGTAGAATGGATACGCGAAATATAGGAAATTTTCACCTACCTACGTACCTCAGTAATGTTAATATTTTAGTTTTCAGTTTTAGAGGGATTGACACACAGTTTTCCTACGTGTTTGGCGACTGCAGTGATCATTTGCTGCATTGGTTGTTCTCTTCTTCCGAAGGTAAACTATCAAAAAACCTCTCTTCCCTAAGATGAATCATTAAAAAGCCAACCAATTCAGCTTCTATGAAATTTTTTTGGAAGTAGAGGACTTAGAAAATTAGGAAAATTTTTTAAAATACATAAAAAGTCACTCTGCAGTCTCAAACACAGATTAAAGAGAAGGGGGGGGGAGAGAGAGAATGTCTAAAATATTTTACGAAATTATTATGGAATCAATTCTTTTTTCCCTTATAGGTAGCATTCATTAATTACGTAACGCACTTTTTTCGGCATTCCTCCCCCCCCCTCCCCCGCTCCCTCTAATAACACTTTTAGTACGTGGGTCCTTATCCTTCAACACGTAAAAACAAAATGGCGTGACGCTCTCCTCGGCCCCCCTTGCCCATAGAAGGTTACGTAATTTATGGATGATCCTTGGAGTTCACTGGGAGCTCCGAGGAACACACTGCCCACGGTCAATAAGATTAGGTACTAGAAGGAAACATTGTTCAAAGTATCCTCATACACGTTATTTTCAGAAACATTAAGTATTAAAAACATACACTGTGCACTGTGATATTGTATTTTTGTTATCATATCCATTAATACCTTGCAAAAATATTGCTTTCTGAGGAAATACTTATACTTTTGCTTTTCCTGAATAATCTCAGAATTTTTTAACCGTAATATTGAAAGGTCTTACACCATCTCCTTTTTCCTCCAAAGAAAAAAAAAAAAAAAAAAAAAAAAAAAAAAGTACAGATCGTTGTAACACAGGGCCGGATTTAGGGGGTGGCCACATGGGCCGCGGCGCCGCGGCCCATGGCGGGAAATGTTGTAATTTTTTCAAGTGTAGGTATCAAGAAAAAATCTAATTCAGAAAAAAAATTACAGACGAGAAAAGGCGAAAAAATCTCTCATTTTCTGAGAGTTAAAGTATAGTAAGTTCTAATTTCCTCGTCTTTCGGTGATACAAGAGACAGCACCTTTCATGAGTCTAGTTGAGGGAGAAACCAAACACGCAATTTGGCCTGGAGCGGCGCGGCGCAGAGAGCAATGATGACGAAGACTTGAGATGGAAGGGAGAAGCCCTCGGCGCGCCTGTCAGTATGAAACACATATTAGCGCCTACAAGACTCCATGAATACTTCACGCATTGCGTCAAACGTAATGCGGTCAGCAGCGGTCGGCGTGAAACGCATAGCGCCTAGAAGATTGTAGGGATACTTCACGCATTGCGCCAGACACAGTGCGGTTGACGCGGTGGCGGAAATTAAAATCATTAAACCACATTCATGTTTATTCTTTCATAATTTTTTCGTTCATTTCTTATAAATGGAAGGCCTTGTCCACACAGAGATAGGTTTACGGAACTTAATTTCTGCGCAAAGTTCCGTAAAATTTTGCTAGTGTTGATAGGGCTTTCACGAAAAATGTGTCCAACACAAGAAAACACGTCTTATGTACCCCTCCTCCTCCGGCACGTTCACTTGATAGTTTGTATCGATGTTTCAAAACGAATGACAGCAAAAATATAAGCGGCCCGTGGGCGGCAAGTCGGTAAATCCGGCCCTGTTTGAACATAAAACATCTAGTCTGTGTTTTGAATTCATAATATTGAATTTGAGAGTTCCATTAAAACACACATTGCTCAAAAAGGTCCGCGTTTTAATGGAACTCTCAAATTTAATGGTTTTAAGGTTTAATGGAACGAGTGAGATGCTGAAAAACATTCAAAAACCGTTTTAAAAGAAATCAGCTACGAACCCAAGAAGTGAAGTACACCGAAAATATTGAAATAAATTTTCAATTTAAAACAAAAAATTTCAATTTCTTTACCACGAAATTGCAATATTTTTACATCACTTGGTCAGTTTACGCCGATTTTCAACGATCAATAAAATGTGAGCCATGTACCAGAGAGATAGGCAATTTGCAATGCTAAATGAATTGCAACTAGTTCCGGTAAAGGAAGCCCCTTCAATCAGTGAATAGACACCGATATAATGACAATAACTGCAACTCGTGTTATCTAGATAGTGATCCCTAATCTGAGCTTTTGAGTATATCCCAGCGAGTATTTTTCCCCACATTGTTTATATTGCCAAACTTCTAGGCAGCCATGCTTCATTTTTTTTTTTTTTTTATTAGGATGGTTGGTATCACGTAAATATGATACTATAACTGTTAAAAATAGAGGTCATTGAACTGAAAATTAATCAAAATCATCTGTATTATAGACCACAGTTTAAAATAATGTTGTAGGTACAGATCAGCTGCATTTGTGGATGTTGCACAGACAGTACAACTGTTGTTGGGGTTATTGACCGGGACTTTTCTAAAACTTTTGAGCACTACGGAATTGGGCGCAGGAATGAAGCAGATTCTAATATTACCTGAAGTTTGCAGAGTAAGATTGGGGCTTTTGATGAATCAATATTAATTTGTTACAATTCACAAATAAAACGATGTCACTTGAAGGACAGAAAAGCATCTTGTTTCATTAGTTATTTAATTTTCGAAAAATTCTAGTAAAAAATTTACACTTTTTCAGATTTTAATTGCGAGCGATTAGCATACTCCTTTGATGAAATGTTATGGTTTCTAGGGGTAGTGGCTTGTGCTTTATTTGCAAAATGTATAAAATTGATTTTTTTTTTTTTTTTAAAAAAAAAAATCTCCTAGTAGTTTTTAAACATCTTTTTAACAGAAACTTTCATCAATTTTTGATAAATTTGCAATTGTAATTAATTAGCAAGCTTTCCCACAATGGCTAATTTTTTGTCTTTTAGAGATCCTTTTGATTCTGCTTCTGCAATTGAGAGAAAAGCAGAATGAAATACTATTTGATTGCAAAATTGTTATTAAAATGACAGTATGAGGAGATAAGTAATGACGGAATGAACACAAAATTCCATTTCATAATACATGATTTATTTGAAATTTCTTTGACAAGTTAAAATAAAAGTATCATTAAAATAATTATTTCACAAAAATAATTAAGAAGAAAAAGTCTGATTGATTTAAGCAGGAAAACTTAGAAACAAGCTTCACTTGAGATATTATTCAACTACAGCACAATTACATACAGAATTTACAACAAGAATTAAGGCGTTCCTATGGAGAGAAGGAGAAAAATTTGAGAGAGGCAAACTTAAAAGCGAAAGGCTAAGACAACCAGGAAGAGAGTACTATAAAGAAAAACTGGTATAACCACACAGAGCACAAAAGACATTTAAACGTAGGGTCAAAACACAAGAGTAAAATAGGGTGAATTTGCATTGAAATTAATTCTTTCATTTTTTTCTCTGGTTACCAATATTTAATTCAAGCTCACTATTGATTAGTGGATCTTTCAGGCTTTATTTATTAGGGAGCATGTAATTCTTTGATTGGTAAAAAAAAAAAAAAAAAATTGAAATGGCAGAAGCAACATTCTTAAACTAGCTAATTTTGGACTCCTTAGATGTCACCTAGATAAGGTAAATAAAGGTCACTTTATCAGAATCATTCCAGATTTATAATGTCCGACTGTGAGAGAAAAAACAAAAGCAATAAAAAAATAAAATAAAAACCTAGCATCCTAGAAGGCAACCTTTTCATCACCGGATTATTTGAACTCTGCTTGAATTAACCTTCACCTTAAGATCTGAAAACAGATCAATGCTTCAGATATCAAGATGCTGATTGTGACCAACACTTAAGTCACACAATTCCTTACAGTATAAGATATTTTTCAAACCTATGTTGATCATTAAAATGTAAACGAGAATTCTCTCTACTTTTAACACTTCTATGGCTAAGGAACAATACGCCTTATCTGCAAACTGACAACTTTACATCAGGAAGAAAAGACTTCGCTATCTTTGTTGTAAAAGGTTAGGTTTACAATTTTTCTTTATAAATTACAGGGTCATTACAGTAATCCTGTGCAGAATTGGGAAAAACAAATAACAACAGCTTGCATATTTTCTACTGTGGAATGCGGCGATGTCGCCAACTCGTTTTTGCAGAAATTGTCCACTAGGCGATATTGTTCCTTAGCCATTGAGTTGCCATTTATAACACAGAAGATACAGAAATAGATTATTGAAAATCAAGATTCGATAAATTGTCCTCTATGCAACATCATCAATCAACGAACAGGTACAAGTATTCTTTCATAATAACATTAAGTTAAAATGGAAAACTAGCTACAGGAGGGAATAGTATTGATAAAACATAACAAGGCTTGAACTGATTTGACAGTGACAGGCCAAGGACGGTACGAAAGAAGTTCCTCAACATGCTAACTGTAATGTCTGTCTGAGCACCTCCACTCCTCAAAAACTCTTCTAAGCTAAAACAGAGAGCACCAGACTCATGCTTTGGCAGATAATGTATGCTATTTTATTGTGGAGTTAAGGAGGAGTATGAGAAGGCTCAAATTTTGATGACACGCCAGTCAACATGTAGAAAGAAATTTGTAAACTTTCAGCTTTATGATTCTTGAGTAATGGGTCACATCAGAAACACAAGCGTTTTGAATCACTCTATTCCTCTCATAAAATTCACATGAAAATAAAAGCTGACGTGTGGTCGAACATGGAGTTCAAACTCAAAAACTGGTAAGTGAATTACACAACTTTTTCTTCTGTAAGTTAGGACATTGATAAGAATATCTATGCTTAAAAAGGCTTAAAACCACTTCTTCCACAAACGAGACTTGCACCAAAAGCAAGAATAGAGTACCGGATTAAAAATTGGTAGTTCTGACGAGAGAAAAAGAATTACACATGAATCATGAAAGTCAAAGACATGAATAAATGCAAAAATAATATTTAAAATAAGCAGTCAAACCTACAATTATCACAGACAAATCATTTTTGAGTCAAAATAGAAAAAAAGTCAATAAATGAATTAATAAACAATAAGTGCTTAAATAAAGAAAGAATAAAGGACATTGTTCTATAGCCAATCCTTAGGACTGATAAATTCATGAATAAATTAACGGAGAGATTAAAAAGTTGTACGATTGAAACTCAAAATTTCCGATGATAAGAAAAATAGAAATAATATACTAAAAAGTAGTAATTAAAACTTTCTATCGTCATGTGTGTGTTTGTATAAGTATGAGTGTATGTGTTAAGAGAATGTGTGTGTATATGTTAAAGTTGGTATGCGTAAGTAAGTGATCCTAGAGGAATCAGTAGTTTGTTAATTATTATTATTACAAAATCAGTCACCACGTATGTACAGAGCCAAATCGCTTACAATTATTCACATAAATTATAACAATTACAGATTTTTATTAGTTACTAAACGTGGAGGAAGATCAAGAGCAGCAAACATAAAAAAGTCAGACATTTTTTTCAAAAATGCTGATATTGCTGAATATTGCTTGCATCTGTGTAATCTAGTTACTGTCCCCTCTCCCACACAACAATAGCCTACGAGGCATTAGAATACTCGTCAATAAACAGACGTTAATTCTTCTTCCTCAAATGAAGGTTGGAAGCACGAACTTCAGTTTGACGAGGTGCCAGCATCAAGATTTTCTCCATAGATTTTTTGCGTTCATTCAGAAGAATTACAATCATTATGATGAGTGTAACAGTATTTTACAAATATACAACTCTCTTAGCTAACTGACTGCAAGACACGAACTTGCTTACTATCCATCCAAACAGTTATTAAAAATACCTGTCTTTTTAGTTTCACGAGAGGAAGCGCTGACACGAAACAAAAAACAGAGAAAAAGTGGTTTCGGTGGAAAAAAATACTTATGGCGAAAATACCACACAAAATCACGGGCCGCACACACGGTTTGTTATAGTCAGTGATCAATCTTGCTGACCTCAAACTAGCCTAAATTAAAACAAAATATTAGCCACCTTAAAAGGACAGTACACATCTATGTACGAGAAAATCCAACTATTCGATACTGGCAGGCGTCATCAGCTGGACTTATTGATTCACAAGAATCAAATGAACGTAGCACACATTCCTCGATTATTTACATTATGCACAAAATGATATTGAACAGAAAAATAGATACAAAAAGGTTTAACACTAAACAAATATCACAATTTTGTTATTTTGCTTTTATACACATTCAATTCAAAACACAATATTTACAAAAACTTTACTCATTAAGCGGTAACTTTTCAATACAGCTTAATGAGCAACCAAAACAACCTTCTTCATTTCTATACAACAATTTGTTCATGACTACAATGATTGGAAGAGATGATTTTTCAGCTTTTGAAAATGACAGTGATCCTTGCTACATGAAAACCTTTCAAGTCTCATTCAAATAAAAGCTTCTCTGACAGGACGAAGATAACGAAAAAAAAAAGGGTGTAGTATCCGATATAAAGTCCCCATAAATGTCAAGCAAAAAATTATTGAAACTCAACAAATGATTAAAAGAGAAAATGATAAATTTTCGTAAAAATTACACATGTAATTTTTGTAACATTTTTACGATAATGAAACTTCAGTGGATCTATTCTGCTTGTTAACTTCAGTTTTAAAATCAATGAGAATGCATTATATTTCATTCAGTGTCAAACACTTTAATTTATGACATAATTACATCCCCAAGAAGGGAGAAAGAAAAGGGACCAAAAGTTAGAGCTTAACTTGGTAGCAAGTTTAAAAATTTATACATTTTGTTAAAAATGAGGAGGTTGATGATAAAACCTGTAATTTCAAAAAACAATAGTTTTAAAAGACTGCAGAAATATTTAATAACAAAATAATACGGCCAAATTTTCTTCACAGCAAAATCACTGCAGTGCAAACTTGCCATCCGACTTTAAAGCATCCCAACATAGTAATAGACATAATCGGCATACCGAGTTGTTTGGTCTCTTCCCCAAAACTAAACTTTGACTCATCCTATTGAAGCAGCTTACTTTGGACTTGACTTAAAAAGTTATCCTTGCAGTCACTGACTTTAATTTTTTTTAAAAAAAAAAATAAATAAAAAAAGAAAATAACGATAAAATAAACAACGATAAATTGACACAAAATTTGACTTTCTGATTGAACATTCACCTCAAGGTGAAGTCACCATTCCTCTGACACTTTCCAGCAAGGAAAACTTGATATTTTACCAAGGTATGCTTCTTTTTGCCTGGTGAATTCATTTAATTTACTGCTCAAAGATTCAGTTCCTTCAGTCTTGTAACGCTTTTAAAACACTTAATGAGCAAAGCATGTTGTCTTATGGATAGGAATATTTTTGTTCAATAATAAGTAGAGTATTTTACTACTAAGATACGATAAAAGTGAATGATAACAATTCAAAGGAACGATGACAATGGCTGAGGAGGAGCAGGATAAGACCACAGAAATTACTCAGAATGTTGTTGAATGTTGAAGAGAATTACAACTACATTGATTTTACAGCCAGGAATTTGCTGAAAAAACGAATTGTAGAGACTGGGTTATTTTAATTTTGTGATAACCCCAGAGCGAAAATTGGAAACAGCAATGGAAAGACAACAAACGGAGGGAATGAACTGGACGAATCAAATTGATATTCCTGACTGAAGTAAGAAATTCAAGTTATATGATCGTGAAACAAACCTGAACATCAGGCATATACCTCTAGCAAATCCTGCAGAAATATTCTTTTGTCTGCATGAAAAGCTTGATATTTCATGATGAGTGTGGTAAGATAACCTGATCTCCTCCTCTTCTAAAGGATGTTCTTATAATTTTATGCATACGAAGTAAAAGTCTGTGATCTGACAGCTTCTGTGCAGCACATGGCAAAAAATGGCAGCAGTATTGACTAGAAAGTCTAGATTATGTGAGTACCGACGGACAGCCTTGCACACTACTTAGTGCAGTTGAAAATAAGTATCAGTCAAAAACTACAGTGATCAAACTGAAAACTCTATCCTAAGCATTTAGATGATCTTGAGAAAATTGATTGCTCAGTTTTAAGGCAAATACATTATGAAATACTTCATACCCAGCATTTATGAAATTTCAGGCTGGAGTCTGATGAGAAAAGAGACTCTTTGCGATTACCTCATTTCGAATGCAAGACATTGGTAACAGGAAAATTGTGCAGAAAATGTACTGAAAGACAAATGTAATAAAATTTAACTGTGGGAAATTTTCAAAAATGTCTGGACGTATTTTTTAGGTATAAATCCCACGTAAGAATTTACTTAATTTTGTCAGAGAGTGCATCTTGAGATCAGGTACAATATGGCAAAAAAGTTTAAGCAGATGGATCAGTGCTCTCAAGCAATTTACTGAATCAATAAATTAAAGTCAGGTTTTCATGAATAACAATCAAGTGATGTTCAGGGATTGGAAAGAAACAGACTGATTGCTTTTGAAGTTTTTCCTTGGATGCTGAATTTTGTTTGATCAACGGACATGTCCAGCTGCGAGTCATTGTGATCAAAATTAACAGAACAGCAGTGCTCACATAAAATAGACTTTCAAAGAAGCTGATGCAATAATTCATAAATTCTTGTGGCGCAGACTTAACAATAAATTAGGAACTTTTCACAAAAGCTGAGAAATGGCTATTTCCAGAAACAAGAAATTAAAACCGACTAACACGAGATTTGAAAATGACTAAGCTTACAACAACTGAACCCATTCCGTGAATGAATTTCCAATCCAGACAACAACTACAGGTAACAAGTAAGAGGCGAGCGCCCTATTCAGTGTCAGTTTCTCTGTTATTGTGGCTTTGCCTGATGACGAGATATTGTACTTGACCTTGCTTTCATCGAACAAGGGTTTTACATCGTTGTCCTCGTGATTAGGAGGTGGAGCTAATGTTGAAACTTCATCGATGCTACCTATCCTCTTCTTGAGATCGTTTTCATTTCCATCGAACTCTGGTACATCCGGCATGGGTTTCATTCCGGAGCCTTTACCATCCTCGTCATCTGGAAGAGGGTTCGGAGCACCGACTTCCATGTCTGGGTTGTCTGGATCAAATCCACCAGATCCACTTCCTGAGCTGAATGTGTCCTCTGAAAAACACAGAATCACATTAATAATTCAGAAATAAATTATACTCCATTCATTCAAGAGAATTTCGTAACTGAAAAGTAAATCTATTACAATAAAACAAAGATACTTGAAATAATTGCTGCAGCAATCAAATTGCAGAATGCTTTGTTCTCCTTAAGTAGGGACAAAATAATACTAAATCTTTTCGATAAAGACAACAGAGACGAGTTATACATAATAAGTTGACCATTCAGTGCTTACTGTATTATAAAAATAAATATATCAGGCATTGGTTTGTTAAAATTTCCGCATGAAGTTCATTTACTGTACAGCACTAAAATAGCTTTTTTTGACCACTGAACATTGACAGAGGCTGAACATTACAAAACCTGAAACATCTTCTTCATAGGAGGACCATCTACAATTTATCTTCAGTTTTCTGAATTTCTCAGGTTTGTGGGTAATGAATATATCAAAACAAATCACATTTCCAAAGGAACAAAAACTGTCAGACTGCCACTGGCTGCAAAAGGGGCTCTTCATCCAGAGGACAGCGGCAACCTTCCTTTTCTTACCAAAAATAATTAATCTTGTTTCTATCCCCCACCCCTGGAAAGGATGAACTTAATAAGATCTCAAAAACATTTCTGTAGATTCATTTAACTTACCGATATCGAACCATTCAACTTCAGAGCCTTTGCAAGCACTCTTCAACTGACTAGTGATAGTTTTTAGAGAGTAGAGTTGTTCATTTATGAGAGGGTTGGGCACATGTGTAACTTCCAGGTTATCATGTTGATTAGAAATACCATTTCCTACTGTTTCTTTTGTGTACCTGCAAAAAATCAATAAAAAATTATTCAACTGATGGACGAGGAGATTTCATTTCCAATTGAACTATCACCTTGAATTTCCTGTAATTTTTTTACTGTACGCTCCATACTTATCTTCTATTATACTAAGTCCCAAACAAACTATCTACAAAATTTTCATCAATACAGTAACAACAGAATTCTGAAAGAACAAGATAATATCAGTGTGGAGCAGCAGTTTACCCATCCCATAGTTGTTTTGGTTTATCAGAAAAATAGTCTACTTAACACAAAGAATGATACATAACCAGCGCAAGCGCAACCAACCCATTTTAAGAACCTCTATGACAAAGAAGCTTTTGCTGATAAATGCATACCTGGCTTTATCTGTTCCATTCCAACAGCTACTCTCCGCTTTCGGTGAGGCAGAGAAGTCTTCGTCGCTACAAATACTGTAAGGGAGTTGCGACCAAAAATCTCTGGTAGCATTGACTTTGTTCTGGATGTCTCTGATTATACTTTTCAGTTCTGACTCCTGCTCTTCCTCTTTATCACCGTGGATCGACAGCGTTGGATCCCCAGCTTGACTATCCCTATTTCGGTTGCTCTTCCTGTTTCCACTTGAGCGTTTCCGTCCCGAGTTAGGGTTGTAGCTTTGATCACTATAACCATTTGGAGAGTCTAGAACTACTTCTTCATCATCTTCTTTGTGGGATACTTCACCATGGTCTAAGACTGTGTCTCTCCGCCTACGTATGGAGGGTCGGCCACATTGGGAGAAAATCTGAAACAATACAATTATTGACATTAGCAAAATTCAGAGACTGTTTGACAGTATAAAATTAACATGCACAGGTAATTCAATATTACTATTCAAAAGGGCTCATAGTCTTCTGAAGATTAAAATTCTTGATACTTTTTCTTTGATTTTGTTGGGTTCCTACTGGAAACAAATAAATTCAGGATTTAGCAATAAAACGATTCAGTCGGTCAAATCTTATAATTTTTAACCAGTTATACTAAGATGCCAACATTGTCTGTATATTTCCTATATTCTATACATTATGTTCTTTATGAATTCTGCCCACTGCATCAAATTCCATGTATACTCTCAGTGATTCAAATTTTTTAGAATTCGATTTCAATTATATAATTTTGATACGAAACATCAAATATCGAAGAATATTCCTTATTTTTTCACTGGAAATGGCATTTGAATCTTGGATCTCATCGAAACTTTCAAAGATGTATACCTACTCATGATTTTAGTAAAATTTCAAATAAAATTACCTGGCACAGTGTAGAAACATTATGGGGGAAGAATAAAGAGCAAGGTACTCGGGATTAAAAGTAGGATTTACTAAGGCTAAGATTCAAAGTGTAGAGACAGGCGTTGAAGGTTTAACATGCCTGGAGATACTTGATTCAAACCAATTGGATGAAAAAGTACAAAACAGAAATTTCTTGGAAAGACAAGGAAATTAAATACAAATAAGGTACCTTTTCCGAAACTTGAGTTCCGCTTTCTTGAAAATTCATTACAGCTTCAGATATTTTTACATAAAATGGCTTCACTACGGCTTCAAGATCGTACGGTTCACTCAGTTTAACCACCAACAAATTCATACTCCCTGAAATTGAAAAATGATATGAAATAATGTGGAGTCTGATAAAAAAAATTCAAAATAATTCAAGACCATAAAAACTTGAGACAAAACCTTCTACTCGTACATAGTTTTGCTAAAATAAACTATGATAATACAAAAACACTAAATTGCTTTTTTTTTTTCTTATAGTGCGGTTGGAAATGAGGCTCTAATATCTTAAAACGTCTCAGTTTTTAAAATTTCCTTTTTTAGCAACCTTTCTCCGGATGAAAATTTTACCTCCCGATGTCCAGTAGAGACATGAAAAGTTTTGCTTCAACCAGGGGTTAAGTTTACCAGGAGGAGGTGAAATCAGGCCTAGCTTTCTTTGATATCCCTTATACTTTTTGAAGGTAAAGAAGTAATTTGTCTTGCATCGCAAAATTAACATTGAACATCCTCGCGAAAGATTGATTTAGCTTAAGGCTTGCCTCCCTACAAAATATCTCCTTCAAAATAAAACCCAAAATCTTACCAGCAAACTGGCCCCAATCATAGTCCAGAGCTGCATGATTAGCAAGACATCCCTTCATCACATTGACACAATAATTATTACACGGCTTGAGATCTGGATAGCCCTGACAAAGTGAGCATCTTTGCATTTTGGCTACCACTTTGTAACATTCACCGGTTGGATTCAGCTGCAAAATATCAAAATAAAACATACCGTTAGACAAAATAATAACTAAAGCAATAGCTGTTGAGGTTCCTCATGGACATTGCGAGAAGATCATTGATGGTTGGACTAATTTCCAAAAACAATTTATAGATAAGCATTTAATTCTTACAACAGAATCTATGAATTTAAAAACAATAGGTGCAAATAAATATACAAACAGGTATACAATTTTAATTTTTTTTCTCTCTGTAATAAATATAATTATACTTAAGAGCTACTACGCATAAGAACTTCTTAAAAACTTTACTTCAATGGCTTGGCTTTCTCAGAGCAGGTACAGTGTTAGTTATTTAAGGTAAGTTTTCTCAGAAAAAAACAGTTACAAGGAGTTCTATGAGATATGTTAGCATTTTGAATCTACTTCTCTTCACTCTTTTCTCGGAAAAATTACACCTCCTAGGAGTATTGTTCTTAATACTGGAATGCGCCAACAGTTATTATAGATTAACATTTTCAATACCAGAAACTAGAAACTAGAACAAATGCGACAAACAGAACTTACATTCATCATATTGCTCGCTACTTCACTTGCAGCACTTAGCGACTGTGTCAATGTCCTAAAAGCAATTAGTGATCTTCTAACTTGACTAATGAAAATAGTAGGTGCATCCTTGAATGGATGGAGCTCCGTCAGGTGTTCTGAAAGACACGCTTGGTGCCTGAAAAAAAAATAACAAAGATATAAATAAATATAGTCCACGTTTGGTCTCTCAGAACTATTCAATAAATATAGTGAACATTTGCCATTAAAGATTTCTTGGCATTAATGTTAAAATCAGATTCGGAAACTTGTTAGATTTTTAGGCACAAAGCAAACAAACAAAATTTAGACTTCCTCTTCACAGTTCCTGAATTTTTTCTAAAATGTTGAAAATAAATAATTTTGCTTTGGAATTCAGTTCAATTCATATCAACGTAAGGGGTAAAAAATTACAGAGAGAGGAAGATAGATATTAATTAATTTCAATCATTAGAGAAATTTCTCTCGATTATTCCGTAGATTTTTTGAAAAATTTTCTGACATTGCTGAGATTTGCCTTACTTATCAATTTTTAAGGTTTGTTGCAATTCTAACTTGCGTTTTTAAATATGTCATAACCTTGTGAGACAAATTTTCTTCTTTCATTGAAATGATTTGATTTTAAATTTAGAAAGGGTCGATAAGAGTCTTAGCCTTAAACAGTCCTTTGTTAAAATGACTGGTGATGCGATCTAATCCTTGCAGATGGGCATCACTTTGGACAAGGAACTGGAATTAATTGTATATGAACTAAGGAAGTACTTAAAATACAGTGAAAGTGTTGTAAGGGACTTACTTTTCATCGAACTTATACTGAACATTCATCACATAGAACATTTTTTCTCCAAGGATCTTGAAAAAATTCTCTAATGTGGCTGAAAGATTAACGCGACCGGTACTGAAGTACTTTTCAATCTCGTCATACAAGTCTAAAAAAATTCCCGAGTTTTGCTCATAAATTTGTCCATAAGTTTGTTTGAACATTGAGTCGAAGTCTCGTTTCGAAGTTGCCATCAACGTTTTGAATAAGTCTGCAAAAGAAAATAAAATCATTTAGCTTTTGGCGACATAAAATTAAACCTAAGCTTTGTAAATGTTTGGCATGATTAAATTGGCTATTGCATACGGTAAACTTGCCAAATTTAACGAAGAACTGTCGAAAATGGATCATGTGTTTCCGTTCCAAGGACGATTAGGGAAACCACTATCCTGAAGAAATTTATAGATTCGGTATTGCGCTTTCTTTGAAACGAATCCAATCGTCAATCTAATTCTTCACCTAAATGTTTGCAAAATTTGGTTTAAGTTCCTTTATATCTTAGTCAAAAGCCTAAAAAAAAAAAAAAAAAATCTTTAAAATCTTCAAATCTTTTAGCCAAAATTATGCAAATTTTCACAAAAATTTCAAGAGAGACATTTCACACCACACCAGAATCAAAAATTATTAGGAAGCTTTCAAATTAACTCATGAACATTTTCAGCTCTGAAGTAACAGATCCTCAGGGGGACCTCGCTGAATTTTGGAAAATTTAATTTTTGAAGATGCAGCCTATGATTCTATTACTGTCGTAGACGCAACTTTGCAAGGTTTGAATACTCTTCTCTTCAGCAAGAAATGTTAACAATACATTACAATATACTTGGAAAAAACTAAAGAAAAATGAAAAGAGGAGAGATTTCGAAAACCAAGTAGAATACAATATTTTACCATCTAGTTTCTTCGCCCGCGATTTCAGCATAGAGCTTAGAGCAGAGAGTGATTCTTTGAGGAGTGTGTGGTAGTGCTTTCCAGAGTCATCACTAAATCTATCCTCCATCTCCTTCGTGCAGCAAGTCAGTCCTGGTGAACATATCCTTAAATTTGCACCTGAAACATGAATCAATTCGAAATTACCGCTATGATCGTATTAAACTTCACTTTTCAAAACAAAATAAAAAAAAAGATATTAGTGCACAAGAAGGCTAAATAAATTATGCTCATCATTCCGTAGTTGATCATCATTCATTGTACTTCCGCATTTTCCACGACAGAGGGTGGACGTGTTTTGTGAGTCAACTTTTGGTGAGAAAATCCCTTCCTCCCAGAATAGTTGACTCACATTTGCCACAGGTGTATCCAGAGTGTTTACTAAAATTTCAGTTTAGAGTTTTCTGCTATTTTAAATAAAATTTCCTGATTTTTTGAGCGAATAAATTGACACTCGTTTGATTTTGCAACCCAACAAACTCAATCAATAGCATCACATGGTTCGCTTTCGCATACGTGATTAACTACAGTAGTTGAAAAATGTTTGGCTCACTCTGAATTTCCTATTCATGGCCGCTTTTCCTGATACTTAACTATTCTTTTCTACGGGCTAATGGTTGAAATTGATAGACAAAGCTATATACAAAGAAGACAAAAAGGATATAGAAGGATTCTATTGGTGAGAGCGGGTAATTCCAATGGAAGAAGGACGTACGTAATAGACTAAGTAACGGCAACCCACGAGTGACCCGATAGTTATAGTCCATCATTTACCCCCTTAGTCTATAAGAACCATCCATTTCAACCAGTAGGATCCCTCCGTACTCCTTGTGTCTTTTTCACTGAAAAAACATTCTCGGCGTTTTTACCAAGGTCCGTTGGTACCTTTACCGTCTCACTTTGTTTTACCAATTATTGCTAATTGTACCAAGATAGACTGGTAAGCTTACCTAAAAACCGGTATTTTTACTGTTTTTTCAGGTAAGAATACCACTTTTATTGGTAATCAATTCCCGGTAACTTTGCCATTTTATCTCGGTAATTCTACCACAGTCGATAAAAAATATAGGCGTTTTTGCCAAGGTCCAGTAAAATTACCGAGAAAGTTCAATAATTTTACCGAGAAATTCCATAAATGGTGATTTTACCAAGAAAAACTGGGATCAAATAGAACCCTGAATTCTTGGTAATTTTACCATTTTCTTAGTGAATACACCGAGATTTTTTTTTTTCAGTGTTTGTCTATCACTTTGTCTATCAATTTCTACGATGAGTCCGCTGCTGGCATACAATTTCCTGATGGTTTCCGGTATTCGAGGATGAAATACACCCTGGTATCGGACGTACCGTCCAAAGCAAAGACACTCCTTCGGGAGATTTCCTCCTCGGTAGGCGTCCGGAAATTCGGGAGTAATATAGTCATCGAGCGCGAGGAGTCATCACCCAGGTGCGGTAAATTTGATAGGATACCAGTTACGACCACCTCCCCCCCCCCTCCCCCGGGGGGCTCCCGGGATTTACGAGCGAGTCGGGGCGCTGTTATGGGACCTGCTACAATGCTACATTCGGATCCGGGCGGTTGCTGACATAATTTGGGAGCTGTAAACGGGCGTTAAGTCTCTATTAGCGCTCCGCGAGCATTGTGAGCAGCGTGACGCCGCGCCGCGCCGCGCCGAGGCGAAGGCCCTGGTCATTAGCATTTCAATATCCACATCTCGCGCTCGGATCCGAATGTAGTCCAGGTGGGTCAACCAACGCAGCGCTTCGCGCCGGCCGGCCGCATCGCTGCCAGCGCCCAGGGCGCGCATTACCGCTACGGCTCCCAAGACCCGCCGCATCCCGGCATCCGTTCCCGGGTATTGCCGTCCTAGGGAAAAACGTCGTATCAACATTCGAATGTTGCCAAATTTCAACCCAGCACTGGGAAAAAAACAGAGCAAGACCTGAAGAAAATGCAAATAAAAGGATGGAGAGAAAAAATCAAAGATAGAGGGATGTGGAGAGGAATCGTTATGGAGGCCAAAGCCCACCCAGGGCTGTAGCGCCGCTAGTAAGTAAGTAAGTAAGTAAGTAAGTAAGTAAGTAAGTAAGTAAATAAGTAAGTAAGTACTGGGAAAAAAACACATTGGATCTAGAGTCCGGACTCTTGAAAACATCGACAAGAAAAAGTACTCTTGATTCAATCAGAATCTAGCTTAAATCAAGAACCAAGCCTCTTAATTTGAGCGGATTTCGTTTTGATTCGAGCAAAAATCCGATTGAATCGAGAGTATTTTTTCTTGTCGATGTTTTCAAGAGTCTGGACTCTAGATCCAATGAGGTTTTTTTTTTTTTTTTCCAGTGAGGAGATGATTATTGTCGAGGAAAGTAATGAGCTCTTTCTCTTGAAATTTGCAAGTAATTCAATACTTATCGCGAATAAAATTCTCTGAAAAATTGGAGGAAAAATATTCACGGGTTCCCCGGAAGATACGAATTTTGTCAAAGATACTGTGGCAGTATTTGAAGGCTCATACGGCGCGTTTTTTTCTTGCATAGTAGGGTAGATGCCACCTAGTGACGCTATGACCGTCACAAGGTGGGTGGAGGAGAGCCATCTCATACAAAACTATTCCATAAGAAATGTCAAGGACTAGGAACCGTGAATGATCGGGGTCCCCACACATCCCTGAGCAACAAACCGTTGCGCTGTTTCAATTGTTGAGTGTTGGAACCTCGAATATAAATGCCAAAATGAGGGGGATAAAAAGAACATAAAATCCTCCTAGATCAAAAGCATCTGTAGATTCTGGGCCTAAGATTCTCGTCTCATCCATAAAAACACTTATTTGCATTGGGAAACTAATGGTACGTACATACTGAAGCAGACATCATACTTCCCAATGGGCCTGTTGCAAACTTTTGCTAGAGCAAAACTAAGAGTTGTTTCCTACAGATAATGCCTCAAAAATCACGATGAGCGCATCGGCAAAGTCTGAAATGCACTCATAACTTCACAATCTGCGTAAGAAATTTGCGGTTTTTTGAGCTTCCCGCTTCGAAAACGATACTACGGTACAGGTGAACATTTTGTTAGAGGAGTCGTTCCATTGGCGACAATACTCATCATGGCCGACGCCAGTCCGCCAAAACACGTGTGATGGGACGAGATAACACTTGAACAGGATTAAACCATATAACAATCGGCGTGTTTACGTTCATATTTTCCTCGCCCGCCTTAATTGACCTTGAACTCTCCTCGAATTACGCGAGGAACTGCGCAAGCGTCGGCCATGTTGAATATTGCCGACGATGGAGCGACTCCTCTAACAAAATGTTCACCTGTGCGTGCAGTAGTATCGTTTTTGAAGCGGGAAGCTCAAAATAACGCAAATTTCTTACGCAGATTGTGAAGTTATGAGTGCATTTCAGACTTTGCCGATGCGCTCATCGTGATTTTTGAGGCATTATCTATAGGAAACAACTCTTCATTCTGCTCTAGCAAAAGTTTGCAACAGGCCCATTGCAATGGTCCATTCCATCAGCTAGCATTTGCTAAAGAATTCTTCATGCTGCGAGGGTATGGACACGAAAATATTCAGCGAAATTGTCGAGCCACGGCTGTAAGGACCGTTTTACGATGTGCCCAAGTTACGAATGATTTCCCATTGCGATGAGCTGCTCAGCACAAAATACAGCCGCAACATATAATCATTTCCTTTCGACGGCCCGCGAAAAACGATCCCGAAAACCTCCATCAATTTTTTCCTCTTTCGAATCGATGCGCTGCGAGTGCAACAACTTGCGACTCGCATTCCTCGACTTGTCGGGGAATTATTAAATATCGCCGGAGTAAGATAATCCAATCAAGCTATGCATAAAAAAAACGCAGGCGCGACAAACCGAGGGGGCAGAAACTACTTCGCACGGCGTGGTCGGAAAATCGCCTTGAATCGCCGCTCAGTGAATAGAGTCAATTGAGAGGTCGGATAAAATTTGGAAACTTTAAACGCTTGTTACTCCGTTTTTACAAAACTTAAGAGGTTCCAAAAGTTGTTCCAATGGTTTTCTCGTGAAATTTTCCGCAAGAAGCACCCCTTGAAATTTAAAATGTGACGAAATAAACAACAAAATTTGCAGTTTGAGTCAAACATTTCATGTCCGACCGTTCTCATTGACTCGATCCACTGTGCGCCGTCGCAGTCGATGGACTATGATAGGCGGGGAGGGGGAGAGGGGGAAAGGGAGGGGACGAGGAGGGGGGATGCAATTTCTTCTGCAAGACTGCACATTCATGCAATGCTCCGCGATATTGGAAGAGGCGAGCCGGGCGGGTTCTCGCACTTCACAAGCGACGCAAATCCCGCTTGATAATTCGATGAATGGAGGAATAACAAGAAAGGAATGAGCGACAAGTGCTCTCATTGAGGAAAATAATGCGCGAGAGTGGATCTTAACTTTGGACTGCACTTGCGCGCGATAGGGGGAGGGGTTTCTCAGGGGCAGAACCATCGGTCCGTGCCGCGGAACTAGGGGGAGTCCAGCTGGGCCGTCCCTTTAGAGCTCTACTCGATCTCTTCAAAATAAATTAGTGATACGTGAAAGAACTGCGAGACATTTCTGTCACTATGCAATGAATGGGACCTTCATTTTTGTTCCGTCAAACTAGCTCAAAATTCCTCCTCATACTCTGGCTCCTGGATCGTCTCAATCTCCATATTTTTTCCGAGGAGGCCTCCCTAGACACCCCATCCCAACACCAACCCCCTCCCCCTCCAAAGCTCGGGAATATTTGTTACCGGACGCAATTAACATTGTAACTACGAATGAAAAGAGTAGGTTACACCTAGAACAGCTATAACCGTTCTTGGAGCAACGATTTTCGTTTTCTTCGACCAGCCTTCAAAAAGGATGTAGGAAGTAAGATTTTCATAGGTGGGAAAATAATTTAGACAAACCTCTCCTTTTCCTCTTTCTGAATGCATCAGAAACTAAGAAAATATAGCCTACAGGGTAATCCTGAAGTTTTGCACCACACTGGAAAAAACACATTGGATCTAGAGTCCAGACTCTTGAAAACATTGACTAGAGAAAAGACTCTTGATTCAATCGGATTTTTGCTTAAATCAAGAACCAAGCCT